TATATATATATATATATATATATATATATATATATATATATATATACCAGAGACCCGGTGACCCAAAAAGGAAGATGTAGGCAAAAAGATAATGGATGGATAGACGGATGGATGGTTGGATGGATGGATGGATGGATGAAGAAGACGACTTTAGTGGTTTTAGTGTGCAGGAGGAAGATGAAGATAGTGATCAATGACTTTTCCTGGTAGGCTACTGTAATGTTTTTATTTTTTTACCAGCCGTGTTACAGGCACAGTTCAGGAATAAACATTTGCTGTATATTTGTGTATGTCCTTAATAAATTTTTTAAAAAAACTTTCTGTGAAAATATCTCATGTTACAACGTGGACACCTGCGATTTATACACAAGTGCGGCCTATAAATGTACAAAACGTTTCTTTCTTTTTAAAGTTAGTGGGTGCGGTTTATATTCAGGTGCCCTCAACAGTCCAGACATTATGGTATTTCCAATCCCCCCTTTTTGCGCCGCGATGGGGGACAAAACAAACGTGACTGCAACCCAGTAACTTTTACAAAGACTGAGCTCAAACTTGATGTAACTGTAGCTGAGAGTCATCCTCACATATTCCAAGTACTAACAGATCCCGTGAGATCTTTGTTTAAAACGTTGGCATTCAAGACAGCAGTTTTCAATAAATGCTAGTTAAAACTGCTGATATTCTGTAACAGCTTACACTAAAATTGCTGTAAAAAGACTATTAAATGTTCTAATTTGAATTTTTCAGGAAACATATATCTAGTTAAATCACAACATGCACCTAATTCATTTTCACTAAAATAGACACCAGCAGTTTTTATTGAAGAAATGAAGTCAAAGACGTAGAACGCATACTACTGATTACTATTATTATTATTTTTAAAGTCAGTTTTATCTTTCCAAGGACAGTACTAACTGTCAGTGATAAATCTTGTACATAATTTTTAATTTAGTATATCCCATGAATGGTGGACATTGAAACGCTGATGTCAAATAGCTGACAAGCAATAAGGTAAATTACAAGTATTTAAATATTTAGTTTTTTGCCATTTCAGTCCCGTCTTTTCTTCTACTGCATTTGAAACCGTCAAGGCTGCAACAACAGAACAACATGAGTGGGATCCAGTTTGCTCGCCGTGGCCTGGTGAGGTTCTTGCAAGAGGTTTTGGAGAGTTTGTGCATATGTGTGGCCTCGTTGTGTAGTTAGAGTTGTGGGACTGCAGCCAACATGGATGCTTCCAGATGGGCCCTCTGTTTGTGTGACACTTTCCACACCGAGATCATTTTACTGAACTGATTACCATAGTCAAGTGTTGCGAATAAAAAGCTAAAAAAAAGCTATTTGTTTTGGATTTTCCTCTGTTTTCAGATTTAATGTGGTGTCTTTTGGTCGGTTCTAACTGTAAATTAGTCATTAAATTATTTATTTTTACTCTTTCTGGAGGCAGCATTTTCTCTCAAACTAAAACAACATGAATTGGTCCGCTTCTTTTCACTTTTCCACGAGTATGAAACTACAAACCTTTTAGTTTGGATTGTAAAAACTGCTGCTTGCTGGCTCCGGTGCACAGACAGTAAAACAAGAAAAATGTTTCACCCACTCTGGCTGAGAACAATTCTGCTGGATTTCTATTACCATCCTCCTCCTCCTCTTTATTTAACAAAGCTGCTCTTCAGCTCACAGTGGGATTAGCGTCAGCGATGAAACCATTATAGCTGTACTGGGAGCGCGGGACGAGTCAGTGGGCTGAAATATTATTAAAACATTACAAGGGAGGAGGAGGAGGCCTAGAAGGAGGACAGAGCTGATTATTCTGCGCTAAACAGCTCGAGGATCGCTGTGACAGCTCGACATGTTAGAGTGAAGTTCGTGCAGATACAGCACGAAAGGCGGGCGATCGTGTTTCTGTGTGTATGGGAGTTTGTGCTTGTATTCATTTGTCTGTCTGTTAGCAAAATATCTCAAGAACCACGGAGTAGATTTTAATGAAACTTTCAGAAAACACTTGTTGGATGCACTTCTACAAGAGATTCACTTTTAAGATGGCTTCCACAGCTAATCAAATTTAGCGAGAAGAAAAATTGCTGAATCTCAGATCATTTTATAGATACTGAGCTAACATTTAGTGTGGTAGTAGCTGAGACTCACCCCCAACACATACTCAGAGTAATAGAAGATTGTCCAAAATCTTTGTTTAAAACTCTAGCATGCAAGGTGGCAGGTGACATACATACCTTCAAAAAATGCTAGTTTTATTTAAAAATACTTTATTTTGAATGCTACTTTTAGATATAAACAAATAATTTGTAGAAGAATCAACTTTATGAACAAGCAGCAGTGAATAATAAAATCAGCTTTCTTTTAATCTTTTAAACCTAACTTTAGTTCCTGCTCTCTTGTTAATAAACACACATCAACAGAAAACTGCAGCGTTTTCCGCCTTCATAAAAGAGTTCGCTCTTCTCGACGCTCAGTTAATCCGGCATGTCTGATTAGCAACATGTAGCTGCTTCTGCTCTTTAAACACCGCCTCAACATCTTTGGCTTCACGGTAAATAAATAATGCAGCAACGTAATCATTTAAGTTTGTACTCGTCTCATTTTCATTATGTTCTGAGACGGTAAACATCCATATCGGAAGACTAGTTACAATGACAACAAAAATAAGTGATTTTTGTCTCGTTTTACTTTGCTGTGTAATTATATATATATATATATATATATATATATATATAGGGTAATTTAGGTGCATGATGATGAGCTGGGTTAATGTTCCTAGTAAAAGAGAATGTAGGGATATTTCATTTTAAAAGCAGACTAAAGATATATAACGGTACATACATTTAATATATATGTATATACACACACTATATCCAGTAATCCCTTGCTACTTCGCGTGATCAGCTGTTCTCCCGCAGAGCGGAGAAGTGGGCGTGGCCAAAAATGCTTGCAGATGGCTGAGAGTAGAGTTGCGCTCGGGTCCAAATAATTCGAACCCACCCGACCCCAACCCGCAGCCATCATCTCTGAACCCCACCCGATCCGACAAACTAACAGTAATTACAGTTTCAAACACGAACCCCGCCCCCACCCCCCGACATTTTTAATTAAGCTGTGGCTGCTTACACCACCGACTATTATTAATGGTTGGCGGACGCGAGCGGCTGAGGGGGCAGGATTGGAGCTGAGGAGCCATCAAAGCGCATTAAATGCTTCCCCTGTTTCTGCCTGTATTGAACCCTGCTCTGACATGTCGAATATTTTGGATTTCACCTGTTTGGGTCGTCGGCCGCTCGTGTCCGCTGAGTGCGGTGGCTGAATGAATGCCCATTTGGGCGATGGATCGCTGGCAGTAGTCCATCTGAAGCTTAATTGAACTTTTAACCTCTTTCAACCGGCCGGTCAGCGCACGGTCAAATGGTCGCATGCAGCAAGTGCAGTATGGCAAGCCATGCTTGCATATAGTGGATCGTCGGCTGCGCATGTACTTGACGCAATAAAAAGCCTAACACCGACCTGGCCCACACATTAAGCACATTATTATGGCGTGGCTTGGTCTGAATCCGGGTCGAGCGGGGCCGGGCTCTGAGTTTGGGTTAAAGATGACAGCTCTAGCTAGGCACAGAGCTGAAATCATGACATTCTGTGCTCTTTTAGATCATCTAGAAACATTGTTTAGAATATTGCAAGAGTATGGGAAGAGTTTAAAACACCTTTATATATATATATATAGATAGATAGATAGATAGATAGATAGATAGATAGATAGATAGATATACTAAAATAAACTGTTACTTACTACTTGTTCTACTATCCCAATTTTACAGTTTTTCACTTATTGCAGGGCTTCAGGGTACAGATCCACTGTGATAAACGAGGGACTACTGTATGTCTGCATGAACTGCAGTATATCCCACACTAATATTCCGAATGCCATGCATTTTTACCCTATGCATGCCAAAGTTATAATTTGCCAATCAGACAGGCTGTCACTGCTCTTGAGGCCCACTCCTGGTTTAAATCAGCAGTTCTCAAACTTTTCTGCTTTTGACCCACAAAATCAAAGCTGCTAAGACGTGTGACCCTGACTATTTAGCTGAACTGTACAAACCTTATTATATATAAAAGCCCTTATGCATTCATGCCCAATATTTGTATTTATTTGTAAGAGTTAAATGCATAGTCCAGTAGTTTTTGAATTTATTTCAGTTTCGTGAGGTGTAAAAAAAGGGTCTTGTTTGGATAGCCGTTTGCCTAGGCTGGCCTATTTCTCTGTTCTCTATGAGTGACATCACAGCTGATAAGGTACAAACTACTGATAACTGACAGAACATCACGTCAAAAATGAATAGACTATCCCTTTAAGGCTAAATGTTCTATTGGGAATCATTTTCAAGGTTTCTTTGCTTCCCATAAACATTGATCACTTTTACTATTAAGACCTCACAGTTGGTGTTTCATGACCCAGCCGTAACAATATATGCTGCATTTCCTAAACGATCAAAATCTGTTCTGATACCTTTTCGTGGATTTCTTGCGTGGACTGGGCATCACAGAACGCCACGGTGGCCAAGTCTTTGAGGATGGGCATCTCCACGGTGCAGTCGCGCCCATCCAGCAGCGCCACCAGGGGGCGCGGGTGCATAGGCCCATTCATAATCTGGGGCCGAATACCTGCAGAGACAGAAGAAAGAGGCACTCAATTATTTATATGTGGCACACACAAAGTGAGCTGCAGAAAAGGCATTAACATGTAGAACCTGCATCTCAGCAGTTGAAGTGTGTCCACAGATTGTTTTTATGGGGGGGGGGGGGTGCTGTGAGGTGCACACACCTGATCGATACCCTCTGAACTTCAGTGGAGCATTTTCTACTTTAAGCCACTGTCATAATCTCCCTCACCTGACAACAGGGGTCGATATCCTGCATACACACACACACACACTGATGCCATGACCACCCTCTTGACTCACTGTTATCCACACTGTTACCAGGCAACAGGTCCTTTCACCCCATGAGGTCATCACCTCCATTATCCTATCACTGCGCAAGAGCCAGCAGGCCTTTAGTGTGTGCGCCCAAGAGCATGTGTGTGTGTGTGTGTGTGTGTGTGTGTGTGTGTGTGTGCGTTTGCTTATGTTATATTTGGGGTCGTGAACACGTTTACACACCAGTCATTTGGGGACACCTTGGCAAGTGGGGACCAAAACCACGGTCCCCAATTAGAGAACCTTATAATCGCATTCAGCACGCTCCAAAATGTATTTTAATCCAAAAATCTCAAACGTCCCAAAAAGTCACTAAAATAGGTTTTTTTGTGTATGTGTATGGTTTCGCCCCTCGCCTCCCCACAAAATCTGTGTATACCTCAATGTTGTCCCTAGTGGGAGTGTGTAGAACTGCATTAAACTTCATAGGTGGCCTATGTAATGCCTGATGATAAAGAATCATAAAATAGAAACTTAAACTATAAGTAGGACCACATAGTAGCCCATGTTTTGCCTGATGTAAAAAATTTAAACAAATGAATGGGCACATGGATTAAGCAAAAATGAAAACTGTTCTAAAAAACTGATAAAAAATATTGTCTTTTGAAAGTTATAATCTTAGTGTCAGCAAATTAGCAGCACTATATTTTCAAATACTATTTTAACATGTCAAAAGCATTGTATACTAAATACTCTAGTGATTTACATTAACTTTTTGGACTTGTTTGCTTACAGTTTATTAAAATATATTCCTATTTCCATATCTCCACCTATCATGGTCTGTATAGCAATGTGCATTTAAGTAATTATGCTACAAAAAGTAAATTAACTGAACTCCTTGAATTGATCAATATGCATTTGCTGCATGTCATTAACATTAGAATATCCAATTACTAATTTATTCCAAATACAAAATTTACAGGTGATTTATAGTTGCTTTAATTCTTTATGAGTACAATGAAAAATCAGCTGTTGTCTATGTATTAAATATCTAAAAGAAAATGTTTAAAACAATAACAAAACCATAAATGAATGACAAAAAATGACAAAAAAGACAACTTGACCTTGATAAAATTTTATATAGTACCACAAAAAAGCCAATTAAATTAAATTACATTCAAACAAAAAAGATATATGTCCAGTGGAATATTGTGTATGGTCTAAATTAAAGGAATGTCATGGGATAGTTTCTTATCTTGCTTATTCATCTAGTCCCTTTTCTCACAAAATTGTGCCTTAATTACCAAGGTAACCTCATTATTAGGTTTACCATTTGAGAACCTGGACTACAACACAGTAAAAGAAACTAACAAGAAATACAAATAAAAAATATGACAGTGGTGATGCACAGTACATTATCACTTATGTCCCACTACATTTTGATAAATTTAAGCTGTCAAATTTATTTCATGAGAAAAATAGCAGAACAGAGTTAGACAATTGAATGAATATATTGACCATTGGCATTTGGACTTCATCATAGTATATATTTTTAAAGTTAATTATTTCTTTTATTTAGCTAGTAAATTTATTCACAAGGGTTTTAATCTATAAATAATTGCACAAGTCCAAATCCAACACTGATTGTGTACAGACCATCTGTTATATTCATAGCATCAATGCCTCTGACTTACTCTCCAGCCCACAGTCAGTCAGTCTAACAATAGCTGACCTACTTCAGGACACCACTGACAATTTATTTTATCCATCCATTATCTTTTACTCGCGTCTTCCATTATGGGTCGTGGGGTTGCTGGTGCCTATAAACAGCAATCTCTGTGCAAGAGGCGGGATACACCCTGGACAGGTCACAAGCCCATCATAGGGCCACATAGAGACAAACAAGACAAACAACCATTCACTCACTCACTAACAGGGATAATAATTGTTACCAATTAGCATAACATACGTGTTTTTAGTCTGTGGGAAGAAACCGGAGTACCCAGATAAAACCCACACATGCATGGAGTGAACATGCAAACTCCACCCAGAAAGGCCCCTGGATGAGGATTTAAACTAGGGTAACCTGCTCACTGAGAGGTAGCAGCCTTACCAGTTGTGCCATTGTATTGCTACCAATGCTAATTTATTTCTTAGCAAACATCCAAATAATTTATTTGTTCAAATGATCAACAACTGTGGTAAAAAAAAATTGTTTGGACAGACAAAATCAAGGAGATTGCTGAATGTGGATTACTGGGATCCCACTCTGGAGCCAGGCCTGGGAGAGGGGGTCATCAGCAAGTGTCTGGTGAATGGGACTCTGCCTATGGGGCTCAATTAGTTTCAGTTCAAATGAACAACATGGGTTTCAGGAAATCATCATATCATTTGCTTCTAGAACAGGTAAAAGTTTGGTGCACGTCAGTCCTAAATGTTCAGCTTAAGCCAAATAAATCTTTGTACCTTTTAAAAATTATCACTTGAACCACTGAACAAATCTTTGTGAAACATACAAGAAATCATCAGCCTTTTTTCTTGTTGGAATTTTGATTACAATTTGGTGTGTATGCAATACATTTTAGGCAGCTAAAAAAATAAAAATTGACCTTCAAATAAAAAAAAACTAACAACGTCCCGCTACAATAAGGTAAATGCTTGAAATTTACAAGGTCTTTTAAGCTCCTATAGATGAAGTTGCTTGGTGAATTTCAGCTTCCTAGTTGCATGACAGCCCATGTGGTAGGTCTTCACTTGATACAATGTATTCAAAATATAATCAAATATAAATTATATTGTTATTTTTTTGGTGTGTCTGGGTGTTTCATGTTAATTAATATGACTGTTTATACAGTGGATTTTGTAATAAATAATAATAATAATAACTTTTATTTATAATGCACTTCACATTCACAGTGAATCTCAAAGTGTCACAAAAAGTGAACATCAGATAGCAGCAGGATAAAAGCAACCATAAAAGCAACCGAGAGCAAAACAACCAGGAGGATAACGCCTCAGAATGAACACATAAAAAAAAAACTTAAAATGCACAAAATGCTGATGAAATAATCAAAAAGGAACTATGGGTGAATTTAAAAAAAGTACAGTAAAATGAATTAAAAAACTGGGTAAAAAGAAAGGTTTTAAGACCCTTTTTAAAACATGTCACGGTCTGTGGAGCCCTCAGATATGAAGGCAGGGCGTTCAACAGCCGAGGGGCAGCGCAGGAGAAAGCCTGGTCTCCTGTTGTGCAGGATCGAGACCTGGGAGTGAGAAGAAGATGAGTGTTGGAAGAGCAGAGTGTGTGAAGGACAATGAGGGGTGAGAAGTTCTTTTAAATAAGATGGTGCATTACCGTATAAGCATTGGAAGGTGAGCAGATAAATTTTGTAAGTGATCCTGGCAGAAACAGGAATAACACAAACATTCACACAAAAATATTCAGATGGCCCTTTAAGCCCTTAGCAAGCACCTAGAACCTTCACATTCACTGGGATTCCATCATTTCCACCAAACTATGTCACATTAAATGTTAATGTGTCTGGGTGTTCCATGTCCAAAGTTATTTCTTGTCATACCCTGGTTTTTGTAATAATACAAGACCCAGGGTGCTACCTAATGACTTTTGACCCTAAGGACACCAAAAAAACGAATAAAATGCTTGTGGCTATTCAAAGCACACTCAAAAGCCAGTTGGATGTGCAATATTGTGAAAAAATAAGCACAGGACACATCTCGAGGCACTATTTGGCTCCATGAGGGTCCTACTCCTATCCAACAAAGGGAAATTTGTGTCACTCCGGACAGGAAATCACACTCTGCAGCTGCCACCCAGAGTCCAAGGACTCTCTGCGTACAATGTTGAAAAGGACCAATTGTAACTCCAACATTTTCACATGCTTTTCCATCACATTTCACACTGGATATGTGTTAGATGTGCTTCCAACATACCCCAGTTCAAATTTTGTAGCTTTAGCTACTTCCTATCACCAGCAACAAAGTACCACAGCACATTTGAAGGCTCCTTTGATCCCCCTTATAATGCACCAGTCTGTACCAAGCTCACAGGGTATAAGTGCGACCTGACTCCAAGAATGCAATTCTAAAGTTTAATTTTTCTGCCTAGTTCACTTCAATACAATTCATTTTATTCATATACAATAGTCCCTTGTATATTGTGGAGGTTCCATTCCCAGATCCCCACACACTCTCACACACACACAATAAGTGAAAAAAACACAAAGTAGAGATAGTAGAACAAGTAGTAGTCGTTGTAGTAAGTAGTAGTTTATTTTAGTATTTATATATCTACATTAAGGCTTTATAAACACTTCCCACATTATTGCAATATGCTATGTTCCAGTAACTGTTTGATCGACTTTGGCAACTCAAATCTCTGCCCCTAAAAGTAATTTTTATTTTGATTATTAATTAAAAATACGAGAGAAAATGTTATCCAGTCTGTGAAGTGGATGTTCCAGCCACAGCACACCGGGCTCGCTCACACGCTCCTGCCCAGGCTGGTGCTGGGTGAAGCCGACACTCCACCCATTTCACTCAGCTCCAGGCTGGGAGGAGAGCAGGAGAGGAGGCAGGGGGTGTGAGGACGGAGTGACAGGATGGTCACATTTATACACAGATACACAGAGGTGCTACGTAGAATCCTTCTCTATTCTTCCTCTCATTGTCCCTCCTCAGCAGTGTTGTGCACTGAAAAACACCCTTTGTAGCATGTCCCACAAGGAT